CTGCTATGTTGACAAATATACATATATGTACACATATTGAGGCAATGCCTTTATTACAAAACAACTGCAAGTTTTTATGATTTCTAGAACTAGTTATTGCAACTATTTATTGAGGCTTTTAGAACTGCATCCACAACTGCAATATATGTGAAAAACTCAGAGCATAAAAAGAGATAGGGAAACAGAGTAGTGTAGTGTTGAAATAGGACCTAGCAGCCTTGAGTTCAATTCCACATTTAGCCATGATAGTTTACTGAGAAACTTTTACTCAGTCATTTTCTCTCAGCTTGGTCTATCTAACAGGGTTATTGTGAAGATAAAATGGTGGGAGAGAATAATTATGTGAGCCATCTTGAGTTTTTGAAGGGAAGACAGAATATAAGTCTGTCTCCCATAGTGTCTGCCCAACTCTGCTCAGCGTTGGCTTGCTTCAGGTCCTGTCAATTAAGTAATGTTATCTAGCAGGACCCAGGAGGTGGGCCTTCTCTGCTACAGCAGCATCCTACAAAAGATTCGTATGCCATCCACTCTACCCACTTTCAAGCAATTATTTCAAACTGTTCTTTCTAAGTCTTGACTTGGTATGTTTGTGTGAACCCCTTTAAGTTGGGGAAGATATAGAAGGATGTCATGTTGTTCTTTTTATATAATGCTGTTTCTTTTAACTCTGTGAAGTTGCCCAGGATAGTTCTGGAACTGGGCACTGTAGAAGTTCAAACAATCAACCAACCAACCAACCAACCAACCAACCTTGTTAAGTCCAAATGCACCAGGGCCTTCAGCTTGCTGAATGTTGAATGTTGAAGGGTATATAAGAAGTTAAAGCTGAAATCAAGGACTTCAGTCGTGAAGGGCAGTTGTTCTGGAAGCTCTGTTAGTCCTAAACCTTCACAACTGTAGCTTCTATTAGTAAAAAGCTGTAAAAATTATACATCAAGTTATATATCTGCAACATATTAATACATGCATATGTATTATGCGTATCTCTTCAGTTTTATGTTTTTAACAGAATCATTGTATTTTAAATAATATGATTTAGCTAAATAGGCAACAGAAGAAATCTACAAGCATCTAAAACCCTTTTTTCATCTCTAAGTGAATTAGGTACGAACCATTGCTATCATTAGAATGACACTACCTAGGAATCAACTCTGTGGAGGGAGGGAAAATTATAAAGGTTGCCCCAAATTATGCACCCACTGGAATGAATAAAAAGGATCACAAAATGACATGTTGTCCCTCTTTTGAACATTTGTTTTAGAAATGTATTTAGTGCTAAGAGGTTTTTTCCCTCAGTTATTGACACTTCACTGTTAGTGCATTTTAGCTACGGAGACTAATGGCAAGTCAAAATGGCAGGTGCCTTACAAGAACTGGTATGTGTAGAAGACCAACTGAAACTGGCAAAGGTATGTTACTGCAAGAAGAATGGCAAAGAAAGCCGTCGCAGAGCCCAAAGCCAGTCACTACTGGGACTTCTATGAACAACTGGGCACAAATGAAGGTGAAAAAAACATCTATTGGCTAGTGAAAATGTGTGCCAAAGTGGCAAAAGACTTGAACGCTACATGTGTGTTAAGGATAAAAGCGGATGGCAACTGCAGGATAAGCTCAAAATCCTGAAATGCTGGTGGCAGTACTTTGATGAAATCTCTAATGCCGAATTTCCACACCTGCCAATTTCTGATGGCTCGGCTAATGCTAGCCCAGTCCTGTGCACTACACCTAAGAGGTTACCAAACCTATCAGCAGCATGAAGAATTCAAAAGCACCTGGCCTGGGCAATCTACCAGCAGATATCTGGAAGCTGAAAGAACTTCACAGCACAGCAGCTGATCGGCTGACAAACGTCTTCAATGCCATTGTGGGCTCTGGCCATGACTGGGCCATGAGTATCACAGTTCCCCTTTTTAAGAGCAAAGGTGACCTGACAGATTGTTCCAACTACTGACCAATCCGCCTCCTGTCACACACAATGACCATTTTTGAGCGTATCCTCAGCCAGGGCCTCCGTGACATTATTGAAATCAGTATCAACCAGTGTGGTTTTGTCAAAGGCTTGAGTACCATTGATCCCATTTTTGCAGCTTGCATTCTCATGGAGAAGCATAGAAAAAAGAAGTCATTACACCTGGCTTTCTTCAACCTAGAAAAAGCTTTCGACCGTGTCCCACATCAGCTGATAAGGTATGGAGTGCTTTGCAATAAGCACATGTTAGTCCATCTAAAATTGAAAGTGTACAGCATGATGGTCTGCCCAGTAGCACTGTATGGTACTGAGTGCTGGCTAACCACCAAAAGTGTTGAGCGCCCTTTACATGCCATGGAGATGCTCATGCTCCATTGGTCATTAGGTGTTTCCCTCCTCAACCATGTCAGCAATGAGTCTGGCAGCAGATGGGCATTGCACCAATAACAGAGAAAAAGCAGGAAAAACACCTGCAGTGGTATGGCCACATTCTACAAGCAGCACCCCACATTGTCGCCTGCACCGCCCAGCACTTTAACACTGATGCCCACGCAGAAGACCAAAGCAAAGGTGGCAGGACACAGTTAATGCAGACATGAAAGTTATACAGTTGGCCCTGGATGCTGTGTTTGATTGCGTGAAATGGCATTCATGGATCTGAAAAGCAGACC